TGCCATATATCCAACAAAGGACACTTGTGGCCCACCAATATAACACTTGCTAGGCTTCACAGTCAACTTTGCATTCCTCAATCGCTCAAGTACAGCCTGCAAATGTAACAAATGCTCTTTCCAGCTAACATCATGTACCTCTATATCATCCATATATGCACCAGCATACTCATTTGTACCTTGCAGTATCTGATTTATTAACCTTTGTAGGGTTGCTGGACCATTTTTCATGCTAAAAGGCATCACTGTAAATTCAAAGAGATCAAATTGAGTTATGAAAGCAGATTTCTCACAGGAAGATTTACTCAAAGGAATTTGCCAATATCCCTTTGACAAATCAAAAGTAGAAATATAACAGGCATCACCAAACTTTTCTATGAGATCCTCCACACGTGCCATGGGATAAGCATCAAATTTGGTGACACTGTTAAGAGATCTATAATCTACACAGAACCTAACTGTACCATCTTTCTTACCCACTAACACAATAGGACTTGCCCATGGACTTTTAGATGGTCTAATAATACCTGATTTCAGCATTTTATCTAACTCTTCTCTCACTGTGGACTGTACTGCTTGAGGTAACCTATGTATGGTTTCTGACGTAAGGGAAAGTCTTCACAAGTAACCACTTCATGTTCCACCAATCCAGTCAGCCCTGGTGCATCTGTAAACACGTCACCATAACGCTCTAGTAACTGTAATACTTCTGCCCGCTGCTCTTCTGTCAGATTTTCATATATTTTCACATCTTTCCAGTTTTCCTTACCTTTCTTTTCTGCTACTGTGTCTAACACCCCATTTTCTTCCTTGACCACATCCACTATATCGACGAAACATGCATCCAATACATCATTTTCTTCCTTGACTACTTCTACTATATCCACGAAACATGCAATCTCTTCCCTCTCCTTCCAAGGCCTCAACATATTAATATGGTACACTCGGCAAGTTTTCCTTCGACTACCAACATTCACCTCATAATCTACAGCTGTCATTTTTCTTGTAACTTGAAATGGACCTTGCCATTCTGCCTGTAACTTCTGACTTCTTGATGGGAGTAACACCAGCACCTTTTCACCAATATCAAAAGATCTATCACGAGCTTTCACATCATACCATCTTTTCTGTTTAGCCTGTGCGACCACCATATTCTGCTTCACTACTTCCATCATCTCCCCAATCTTATCCCTCATGTTAATTACATATTCCGCTAAATTTTCCTCTTCTGGAATATCTCCAGTCCACCCTTCCTTTAACACAGCCAGAGGTCCTCTTACATGTCTTCCATATAATAACTCAAATGGAGCAAATCCTGTGCTTGCTTGTGGAACTTCTCGGTAAGCAAACAACAAGTATGGTAAATAGGTATCCCACACCTTTGGGTGTTCTGCTGTGTAGCGACGCAACATACATTTAAGAGTACCATTGAACCGCTCAACAAGCCCATTGCATTGTGGATGATAAATACTAGTTTTCAATTTGTTAATGTGTAGCTTAACACACATATCACTTATAAGTTTAGACATAAAATTTGTCCCTTGATCACTAAGTAACTCGTTTGGAATACCTACCCGACTAAAAATCTCAATTAAACAATCTGCTACTGTTTCAGCTTCCATATTTGGAATTGGTAAAGCTTCTGGATATCTAGTGGCATAATCACACAACACCAATATATATTTATTACCTTTTTTACTTCTTGGTAAAGGCCCTACCAGATCTATTGCTACCTTCCGAAATGGTACATCCACAATTGGCATTGATATCATCGGGACTTTTTCATGAGCATATCTCTTAGCAGATTTTTGGCATTCAGCACACGTTCTGCAATAATGTGCCACATCTGAAAATATCCCTGGCCAATAAAAATGCTGCAGTACCCTTTGTTTTGTCTTCTCTATTCCTAAATGACCAGCTAAAGGAATATCGTGAGCAATCCTTAACAACTCACCTCTACACTTTAACGGGACCACTAACTGAGTCACCTCAGCTGCTTCCGAGTTCATGGGTCTCCATTGACGAAATAATAGACCATCCTTCCAGAAAAAACAAACTTTATTTGCTATCATATTTTCTGGCACTACTACTTCACGGACCTTTGTCAATGTTACATCTGATTGCTGTAACTTTATCAACTCCTCTCGTCTCAATTTGAATACATCAAATACTTCATTATCACTTACTGGTAACTGAATCTCATCATTATGATCCTCAGCTTTATCTAACTCACCTTGATCATCTATGCTGTCATTAGTATCACCAACATCAACAACACTTTCTGGCAGTTGCTCCACTGGTCTTGCATGAACACCTGTTAATTGTTCATTACACCTTACCTTAGCATTTTTCTCTTTTAATGCTTTACTTTTTCCTCTAGTGACAACATAAGCTGTACTCGTTTGACTATCTTTAGTCATACTTACATATACCTCATTACCCAAGATAACATCTTCAGCTAAGGTATCTAAAACCCCTACATCCAATTTTCCTCTATAAAACTTACAATTCAAATGTACTCTTGCCATGGGTACTTGCCTTGTACTACTATCTGCAAGTCTAACACACACATACTGTCCCAACAAGTATGCACATTTCGATACAAACTTTGACTTTACCAATGTCTGAGTACAACCTGTATCCTGTAAAACTACCACTTCCTGTCCATTCAGCAGTCCCTTGCACCTATGTATATCCATACAACTACCATATAAACACTTATCTACATTTTTCTTAGATTCACCTGCACAATAAAATACTTTACTACCCTTGCCTGATCCACTATTTGAACTAGGCTTGAGATTCATAGGACATGTTGTAGTAATATGACCAGGTTTACCACACTTGAAACATGTATTAGCTTGACTATTCTTATTAGATTGTTGAACAGAATTAGATTGCCATTTTCTAAATTTTCCATTTGATGCCATTGACTTATCTGTTTTAGGTTTACCATGAGCAGCAATATACTGCTCAGCTAATTTAATGACCTCACCTTTTGATTTAGGTTCTCTTTCACGAATCCATATCTTCAATTCATAAGGTGAATTCTCTATGATTTGCTCCCTCAACAACAGATCTATCATTGTCTCCATACTGTCAACTTCTGCTGCTTCCAACCAATGCTCTAACAAATTCTCCATTCTGGCACCCCATTCGGTAAATGACTCGCATCTCACATCCCACTTTACACTTCTAAAGCATGTTTCGCGGCCAATGATGTGCAATTGCAATCTTTTCAAATGTTCTTAGATAAACATTAATATCATCACCTTCCTTAAAATGAGAAATGTTAGGACCCTTGTCTACAATTACAGTACTATTATCTGTACTATGCTCCCTACCTTGCATACGTAACTTCTCCAATTCTAAATCCCGCAACTTCATTTCCACTTCATGTCTTCTCTTTTGCTCCTCAGCAATCCTTACTGCTTTCAATTTTTCCATTTCTAGCTTCTGTTTAAGCATAACCATCTGTAATTCATATTCACGCTCTTCGCGCCTGAGCCTCACTGTATCCTGATGCTTTGGATCCCAATCCTGCAAGCCCTTATTCAAATTCCCTTCCAAATTAGAATGCATGGGAGTCAGTAGTGGTGGACCCCCAGAAAAATCAGCAGCATCCCCTGTATCATTCATACTCACAACTTATTTTTACTCACACACTGACAAGTATAACATGCAGCTACGGTACCTACCTACCAAAGAACAAATTACCCACTGTTTAGTTTAACCACAAGGAAACCAAACAGGATGTTACAAACTAGAAACCAATTATTTATCCAAACACTGCACTTTTTTTTTATACACAGCCTTTTCTGACTTTCCTTTCCTTTGATACTTGATAGGTCAATCTTTGTTATTGTAAACAAACCAAAGCACTAAAGGTTGGCATAACAACCACCAGTTGCTAAGTGAGTGATGTAAAATGTTCTAAAAGTTAGTTAAAATGTTGCAAAAGTAAATCTACAGTCAGTGAAAAAGAGTTCTAGAAGAGCTGAAACAATGTTGCAATCAAATCAAAAATGTTCCATTTCAACGTACACTGCTTCCACGAGCTGTCAATCAATTCAGTTCAAACCGGCTTTTCACACAGCTGGCAAATTTACATTCCCCGATCTGTCACTTGGATAAAAATATAGTTGACATTGATAACTTCACAGCATTTCTTGAAGGCAAGTTATCTATTCAATGTACAGGCAATTCTGATATCACAGGCAGTTTATTTCTTCACAGCTGGTTGAGTTGAGTGTAGAGAAAAATCAACTCACCAAATCCCAGTTCTTCTGTACAGTTAGTACTCAAAGTAGTATTTCATCTTCCTTCAACTTGCGATGCACAAGTCTCTCCCTCTACTGTGTTGTACACAGAAGGTTGTTCTAGATGTTACAGAGCTCAACAGGCCTTTTCCACAGATTCAAGTTCCTCAGTACTTTGCAAAGAATTATTATTTCTTCAGTAGTATTTCTTCCCCCTTTTTCTTTAACCGCTGCCACCATATGTAAACTGAGAACAGACTTCTCAAGGTAGAGTGAACCAAGTGAGTATTGGTCACCAGATCCGGGAGGAGAATAACACACTGGAGAGGAGCACTTGTAGCCAAGGTGTTTATTGCTCAACTGCTAGGCCTGGAACTGAGTCTAAATACTCACGAGATGTTCCATACAATGTATCAATATCATTATGCAAATAACTAAACTAAACGTCATAGCCTCAAATCATTACATTCCTTTCCCCTTATAGAGGATGAAAACTCTGTTTTTAAAAACTTTGAGATACACTTGAAAATACTTTGAACTCAATAATAACAAGTTAAATATATAACCATAAATACCAACAAACAATTCTAAAATATCGCTATGCTGCAGTACCTGGATAAACTTAATATCTAGCACCTGATATTTAGGTGATAGGTGAAGCACCAAGCCGCACACAACACTCATCATTTTTTTTTTTACTCATACTTCACTCATACAACTACTCACAACTAATTTGGGAAGTCAACCCACATCTGACTGCCATGCTCTTGACAAGCCATCAGCATTGCCATTTTCAACCCCTTTTTTATGTTGGAAATTTATCTGGTAACCTTGCAAGGTCAGACTCCAACGCATCAGTCTACGATTCCGTTCGCGCAATTGATTCAGCCATTTTAAAGGATGATGGTCACTCTGAACAGTAAATGCTCTACCATACAAATATGGATATAATGCTTCCACTGCCCAAACAATGGCCAAACATTCCTTCTCAATAGTCGCATAATTCATTTCACGAGGCAACAACTTCCTACTGATGTATACTATGGGATGTTCTTCTCCTTTGTCATTATTTTGACTTAACACCCCACCAATACCATGATCACAAGCGTCAACCTGCAAGACAAAAGGTTTGGTATAATCTGGATTATGCAGTACAGGTTCAGATGTCAATGCTTGCTTCAATTTACAAAATGATGTCTCACAGTCTTCAGTCCATATTACTTGATTTGAACACTTCTTCTTTATTAACTCTGTCAAATAAAAAGCAATTTCAGAGAAGTTAGGAATGAATTTACGATAATATCCCACTAAACCCAAAAATGCTCTAACATTTTGTTTAGTCTTGGGTCTTGGAAAATTATTAACAGCTTGCACCTTGTCCAGCATAGCTCTTATCACTCCACTACCTGCCATATATCCAACAAAGGACACTTGTGGCCCACCAATATAACACTTGCTAGGCTTCACAGTCAACTTTGCATTCCTCAATCGCTCAAGTACAGCCTGCAAATGTAACAAATGCTCTTTCCAGCTAACATCATGTACCTCTATATCATCCATATATGCACCAGCATACTCATTTGTACCTTGCAGTATCTGATTTATTAACCTTTGTAGGGTTGCTGGACCATTTTTCATGCCAAAAGGCATCACTGTAAATTCAAAGAGACCAAATTGAGTTATGAAAGCAGATTTCTCACAGGAAGATTTACTCAAAGGAATTTGCCAATATCCCTTTGACAAATCAAAAGTAGAAATATAACAGGCATCACCAAACTTTTCTATGAGATCCTCCACACGTGCCATGGGATAAGCATCAAATTTGGTGACACTGTTAAGAGATCTATAATCTACACAGAACCTAACTGTACCATCTTTCTTACCCACTAACACAATAGGACTTGCCCATGGACTTTTAGATGGTCTAATAATACCTGATTTCAGCATTTTATCTAACTCTTCTCTCACTGTGGACTGTACTGCTTGAGGTAACCTGTATGGTTTCTGACGTAAGGGAAAGTCTTCACAAGTAACCACTTCATGTTCCACCAATCCAGTCAGCCCTGGTGCATCTGTAAACACGTCACCATAACGCTCTAGTAACTGTAATACTTCTGCCCGCTGCTCTTCTGTCAGATTTTCATATATTTTCACATCTTTCCAGTTTTCCTTACCTTTCTTTTCTGCTACTGTGTCTAACACCCCATTTTCTTCCTTGACCACATCCACTATATCGACGAAACATGCATCCAATACATCATTTTCTTCCTTGACTACTTCTACTATATCCACGAAACATGCAATCTCTTCCCTCTCCTTCCAAGGCCTCAACATATTAATATGGTACACTCGGCAAGTTTTCCTTCGACTACCAACATTCACCTCATAATCTACAGCTGTCATTTTTCTTGTAACTTGAAATGGACCTTGCCATTCTGCCTGTAACTTCTGACTTCTTGATGGGAGTAACACCAGCACCTTTTCACCAATATCAAAAGATCTATCACGAGCTTTCACATCATACCATCTTTTCTGTTTAGCCTGTGCGACCACCATATTCTGCTTCACTACTTCCATCATCTCCCCAATCTTATCCCTCATGTTAATTACATATTCCGCTAAATTTTCCTCTTCTGGAATATCTCCAGTCCACCCTTCCTTTAACACAGCCAGAGGTCCTCTTACATGTCTTCCATATAATAACTCAAATGGAGCAAATCCTGTGCTTGCTTGTGGAACTTCTCGGTAAGCAAACAACAGGTATGGTAAATAGGTATCCCACACCTTTGGGTGTTCTGCTGTGTAGCGACGCAACATACATTTAAGAGTACCATTGAACCGCTCAACAAGCCCATTGCATTGTGGATGATAAATACTAGTTTTCAATTTGTTAATGTGTAGCTTAACACACATATCACTTATAAGTTTAGACATAAAATTTGTCCCTTGATCACTAAGTAACTCGTTTGGAATACCTACCCGACTAAAAATCTCAATTAAACAATCTGCTACTGTTTCAGCTTCCATATTTGGAATTGGTAAAGCTTCTGGATATCTAGTGGCATAATCACACAACACCAATATATATTTATTACCTTTTTTACTTCTTGGTAAAGGTCCTACCAGATCTATTGCTACCTTCCGAAATGGTACATCCACAATTGGCATTGATATCATCGGGACTTTTTCATGAGCATATCTCTTAGCAGATTTTTGGCATTCAGCACACGTTCTGCAATAATGTGCCACATCTGAAAATATCCCTGGCCAATAAAAATGCTGCAGTAACCTTTGTTTTGTCTTCTCTATTCCTAAATGACCAGCTAAAGGAATATCGTGAGCAATCCTTAACAACTCACCTCTACACTTTAACGGGACCACTAACTGAGTCACCTCAGCTGCTTCAGCTGAGTTCATGGGCCTCCATTGACGAAATAATAGACCATCCTTCCAGAAAAAACAAACTTTATTTGCTATCATATTTTCTGGCACTACTACTTCACGGACCTTTGTCAATGTTACATCTGATTGCTGTAACTTTATCAACTCGGCTCGTCTCAATTTGAATACATCAAATACTTCATTATCACTTACTGGTAACTGAATCTCATCATTATGATCCTCAACTTTATCTAACTCACCTTGATCATCTATGCTGTCATTAGTATCACCAACATCAACAACACTTTCTGGCAGTTGCTCCACTGGTCTTGCATGAACATCTGTTAATTGTTCATTACACCTTACCTTAGCATTTTTCTCTTTTAATGCTTTACTTTTTCCTCTAGTGACAACATAAGCTGTACTCTTTTGACTATCTTTAGTCATACTTACATATACCTCATTACCCAAGATAACATCTTCAGCTAAGGTATCTAAAACCCCTACATCCAATTTTCCTCTATAAAACTTACAATTCAAATGTACTCTTGCCATGGGTACTTGCCTTGTACTACTATCTGCAAGTCTAACACACACATACTGTCCCAACAAGTATGCACGTTTCGATACAAACTTTGACTTTATCAATGTCTGAGTACAACCTGTATCCTGTAAAACTACCACTTCCTGTCCATTCAGCAGCCCTTGCACCTATGTATATCCATACAACTACCATATAAACACTTATCTACATTTTGCTTAGATTCACCTGCACAATAAAATACTTTACTACCCTTGCCTGATCCACTATTTGAACTAGGCTTGAGATTCATAGGACATGTTGTAGTAATATGACCAGGTTTACCACACTTGAAACATGTATTAGCTTGACTATTCTTATTAGATTGTTGAACAGAATTAGATTGCCATTTTCTAAATTTTCCATTTGATGCCATTGACTTATTTGTTTTAGGTTTACCATGAGCAGCAATATACTGCTCAGCTAATTTAATGATCTCACCTTTTGATTTAGGTTCTCTTTCACGAATCCATATCTTCAATTCATAAGGTGAATTCTCTTTGATTTGCTCCCTCAACAACAGATCTATCATTGTCTCCATACTGTCAACTTCTGCTGCTTCCAACCAATGCTCCAACAAATTCTCCATTCTGGCATCCCATTCGGTAAACGACTCGCATCTCACATCCCACTTTACACTTCTAAAGCTGCTCCGGTATTTCTCTGCAGTCAACTCATATTTCTGCAAGATAGCTGCTTTAACTAAATCATAATCATTAGAGTCCTTATCACTCATACTAGAAAACGCAACCTGTGCTTTATCCGATAAATTAACTATCAATTTCAAAGCCCACATGTCTCGCGGCCAATGATGTGCAATTGCAATCTTTTCAAATGTTCTTAGATAAACATTAATATCATCACCTTCCTTAAAATGAGAAATGTTAGGACCCTTGTCTACAATTACAGTACTATTATCTGTACTATGCTCCCTACCTTGCATACGTAACTTCTCCAATTCTAAATCCCGCAACTTCATTTCCACTTCATGTCTTCTCTTTTGCTCCTCAGCAATCCTTACTGCTTCCAATTTTTCCATTTCTAGCTTCTGTTTAAGCATAACCATCTGTAATTCATATTCACGCTCTTCGCGCCTGAGCCTCACTGTATCCTGATGCTTTGGATCCCAATCCTGCAAGCCCTTATTCAAATTCCCTTCCAAATGAGAATGCATGGGAGTCAGTAGTGGTGGACCCCCAGAAGGATCAGCAGCATCCCCTGTATCATTCATACTCGCAACTTATTTTTACTCACACACTGACAAGTATAACATGCAGCTACGGTACCTACCTACCAAAGAACAAATTACCCACTGTTTAGTTTAACCACAAGGAAACCAAACAGGATGTTACAAACTAGAAACAAATTATTTATCCAAACACTGCACTTTTTTTTTATACACAGCCTTTTCTGACTTTCCTTTCCTTTGATACTTGATAGGTCAATCTTTGTTATTGTAAACAAACCAAAGCACTAAAGGTTGGCATAACAACCACCAGTTGCTAAGTGAGTAATGTAAAATGTTCTAAAAGTTAGTTAAAATGTTGCAAAAGTAAATCTACAGTCAGTGAAAAAGAGTTCTAGAAGAGCTGAAACAATGTTGCAATCAAATCAAAAATGTTCCATTTCAACGTACACTGCTTCCACGAGCTGTCAATCAATTCAGTTCAAACCGGCTTTTCACACAGCTGGCAAATTTACATTCCCCGATCTGTCACTTGGATAAAAATATAGTTGACATTGATAACTTCACAGCATTTCTTGAAGGCAAGTTATCTATTTAATGTACAGGCAATTCTGATATCACAGGCAGTTTATTTCTTCACAGCTGGTTGAGTTGAGTGTAGAGAAAAAACAACTCACCAAATCCCAGTTCTTCTGTACAGTTAGTACTCAAAGTAGTATTTCATCTTCCTTCAACTTGCGATGCACAAGTCTCTCCCTCTACTGTGTTGTACACAAAAGGTTGTTCTAGATGTTATAGAGCTCAACAGGCCTTTTCCACAGATTCAAGTTCCTCAGTACTTTGCAAAGAATTATTATTTCTTCAGTAGTATTTCTTCCCCCTTTTTCTTTAACCGCTGCCACCATATGTAAACTGAGAACAGACTTCTCAAGGTAGAGTGAACCAAGTGAGTATTGGTCACCAGATCCGGGAGGAGAATAACACACTGGAGAGGAGCACTTGTAGCCAAGATGTTTATTGCTCAACTGCTAGGCCTGGAACTGAGTCTAAATACTCACGAGATGTTCCATACAATGTATCAATATCATTATGCAAATAACTAAACTAAACGTCATAACCTCAAATCATTACAAATACATATTATGCATTGCGAATGTTTTTTATTCAGATTGAAGATAACGAATACAGAGACTCATGACGAAGAGCCTACCGCAATCTGATTAAAATCTGATGTAGTGTACGGGCTTTAATTATTTTAGCTATGAAGTTATTTTAATTTTATTTTTCATTACTTTTGTTATTAATGCCCTTTTATTTTATTATTTTACTTTGATTTTTTTTAAAATTCCGCCCTACCTACATCTGAGCCGATGCCTATGTAACGAGATTTCAACGAGACCCACTATCGACGATTTTAGTCAACGAATCACAGACCTCCTTCTATAGCGCACATGATGACGTCACCGGGCAGAGTCAGGTAGCAAACAGACTCAAATAAAATGGTGGATTATACCGACGTTAGCGACCGAGAATGACACGGCTTTTCGGTAAGTTTATCATTGTAAAATGCAACGAAAGTCATTTTTATGTTAATATTGTGGCTCGAATGGTTCGACTTTAGATCGTTATTTTGCATAGTTATTCTGGGAGTGAAGATTTTGTTTCCACCGGTTCGACCGAACACCGGTGTCTTTTTCCAGTCGCCTGCCCTGGAGACGGGTGATGTTTTGTTGACGATCGGGCCAAAATCGTCCACGGTATTGAAGCCGTAGCTGTAAATATTCATCAAATTGTATCATGTTTTGTACATTATACAATAACTCTTTATTAAGTAATTGAGCTGATTTGGACTGGAATAAAATATTTTTTTATTTGGAACACATCGCAATTGATCAGGAAATATTATTTTGCTCCACTTGTCTGCGTCGATGCCGTGGGCCGTATACATTTAAAATCAGTTTGCATTGTTTTCTA